CGTTCATGAATTTGTTGAGTTTGAGATCTATATTATGCCGCCCTTCAATGTTGTTTGCCTCCAGGCACATGGGGGAGAAACAAGTTTTTAAAGCGGAGCTTGTGGTACCCAACTGGAATATGTCGAACTCCCCCCCCGAATAAGAATTATGTCTATATATATTTACAATACTAGTAGATCATAGACGTCTTGCACATCTTTGATCCTGAGGTTTGTGCACATTCACCTCGCCGTCTCGGCATCCAAGTGTGACGCTGGGCCACCTCGGGGGGCGGAGCACACGTGCTGCTTCGATCGGTTCGGCAAAAAGCTGGAAAGACCAAGGAATCGCCCGAATTCTCGAGTGATGGTCCAGAGCTCCCTTTGCTCCTAGTAGCGTCCTTGCTCCTAGGAATGGTGACAAGTGGTGCAATCTGCTGTGCCGTTGGTCTTATCAAACACTTGGGAGGGGAAGTTTCCACAGACTCATTAAGCAAATTCTGTATAGGTTACGCGGCTTGTAGAAGGACACATGAGCATAGATGTTTGATGTTCTTTGTGTCTTTGTGCTTGTAAGCCATTATTGTGCTATCATCGTGCCAAAAGAGAACATTGATAGATCCGCATACTTACGTCTAAAGCAGTGGACGACAGGGTGGGAACAGATCTGGGAACATTGCCACGCCGCCACCTAAAACGCTGGGTTTTTATTGTGTGTGTTTTTTCTTCAGCAGATGTGCTCAGATCCGTCGAGTCGTGAGGAAGTGATCCGGGATGCTGTGCTCTACGTGCTGGAAGCTGGGTTAGGTCCTGGCAAGGTCTCTCCCAAAGCAAGGAGGTGCTTCATTGTTATGCTGATTTTTGACCGCAGAAAGTCCACGCAGGTTGGACTGCATTGACCGCAGAGTGCGCAAATTGATGCATTGAGTTGTGTCCTTCTAGACGCATGTTTGATGACCAGAAGAGAATCTTTCCTCTAGTCAATATGCAGCATGTACATGCATGTACAACTTATTTTTATGTCTCCTATAAATCTATAAACGAATCAGCATGTTCTACCGTTTCTACTACTATCCCACCGTTTCTGGAGTCCAAAGCGGCGTGGAGCAAAGTGGCCTGAATTGAACAGTATTGCAGTATTGAATTTGCCGCTTCAGAAGTGCACAGTTTCGGCGAAACATCCTGATCCCAGACATTTTCCCAACAAGTAAGCGCTCTTGAATCTACGCTTTGGAACAAGGCATTCTAATTTGTGCAGAATATGTTGGAAAGCTTGCGCAAGTTTTCAGTAGGAGGTTGCTGATTTGTGGTTTCGAGGAAAAAAAGATACTTGAGGTTTGGTGAATCATGTCATCAGCAACACACGCTCAGGAACTACATGACAGGCGCTTTGATCTATGTGCAGAACAAATTCTACCACCGAGTCTCTTGGTTCTGGCGAGTGGCTTTTAGGCAGAGTTTGGAAGACGATTGGCAGGAAATGTTGAACTGGGGACTGAAGTCTTGAACAGTTCCTTTTGTTTGGAAGAGAGAGCTGGGGGGCCACCTGACCCAACTAAAGGACCTGACAAGCAAGAGAAGCAAGCGGGCGTGATTGTTATTTGTAGTCGAGCAGTCTCACAAGGCATTTTCTAGCCGATCCTCCTAAGTACTCAAAAAATATAATATGAATTTGAATGCATATGTACATACATACATCTACATATATATATATAATCATCCTGGAGTAGATAGAATGGACGAATTTTCAAAAAACATGTCACTCCTCAAAACCGGCCCTTCCAAACCCCATAGATAGAATATGGTTGTAGGGGCTTCTCTTCCTTTTCCTTTGTTGTCCTTTTCCTTCTCTGTTCGTTCTATTTTCTGTTCGTCTAAAGAAAGGAAAAAAGGAAGGAAAGCTTAGATAATACACACAGGAACAGAACATGAAAATAACAAAGGAGCAAATACCGGAATGGGAGGAGTTGATAAGAATCTTATCACTATATTCTATCTATGGGGTCAGTCTTCATAAAATCAAAGGGATGTCAAAAAACCCTGAGTTTTTTCAAAAAGAAAATCACCCCCTACGAAAGTAGATTCTATCTACTCCAGGATGATTATATATATATAGATGCTAGTTCAATTCAGTCTGGCCGCTTCCGCCCGGTCATTGCAGAAAGGACCCTCTTGGAAAATAACTTTGGCATTTGGAATGGTGTTGGAAGATATCGGAAGGTTATTGTGCTATGCTACATGTTGTAATCATTCTCAAGCCCACCGATGTGCTTAGATGCTTCAGCCCCATGTACTTTTCTTTCTAAATCAGGACACCCACTCGTGCAGGTGACATATCAAGTTTTACATGAGCTATCATGATCTACAATGTCATCGAAGCAGGTGAACACATGTGAACATAGAAAACAAAACAAATCCACAAGAATCTCACCCTGAATGAAACGTGGAATGCCCCTGGCCCCTGGGGGCTTCAAGTGGCTTGTGTTCTTCTTCACGTGGGTCCGATGAAGTCGGTCTCGGGAAGTCGGGAGCAGGGAGGTTACCTCTTTACCGTGACGGCCGGACGTTCTTGGTAGCCTCCACCCGAATAGCAATGGCCTCCACCCGAATAGCGATGGCCAACACCCGAATAGCAATGGCCTCCACCCGAATAGCGATGGCCAACACCCTAATAGTGATGGCCGCCACGCCAATAGCGATGGCCTCCACCCGAATAGCGATGGCCAACACCCTAATAGCGATGGCCGCCACCATCCGCCACCCTAATAGAGATGGCCGCCACCCGAATAGCGATGGCTGCCTCCCCAATAGCGATGGCCTCCACCCGAATAGCGATGGCCTCCACCCGAAAAGCGATGGCCAACACCCTAATAGCGATTGCCGCCACCATCCGCCACCCTAATAGCGATGGCATCCACCCTAAGAGTGATGGCCGCCACACCAATAGCGATGGCCTCCACCCGAATAGCGATGGCCTCCACCCGAATAGCTGGCCAACACCCTAATAGCGATGGCCGCCACCATCCGCCAAAAGATGGCCTCCATCCTGATAGCGATGGCCGCCACCCCAATAGCAATGGCCTCCACCCGAATAGCGATGGCCGCCACCCCAATAGCGATGGCCTCCACCCGAATAGCGATGGCCTCCACCCGAATAGCGATGGCCAACACCCTAATGGCGATGGCCGCCACCCCAATAGCGATGGCCTCCACCCAAATAGCGATGGCCAACACCCTAATAGCGATGGCCGCCACCCCAATAGCGCTGGCCTCCACCCGAATAGTGATGGCCTACACCCTAATAGCGATGGCCGCCACCCCAATAGCGATGGCCTCCACCCGAATAGCGATGGCCAACACCCCAATAGCGATGGCCGCCACCATCCGCCACCCTAGTAGAGATGGCCTCCACCCAAGTAGCGATGGCCGCCACACCTAATGGCGATAGCCTCCACCCGAATAGCGATGGCCTCCACCCCAATAGCCATGGCCTCCAACCTAATAGGGATGGCCTCCACCCCAATAGAGATGGCCAACACCCTAATAGCGATGGCCGCCACCCAAATAGCGATGGCCTCCACCCAAATAGCGATGGCCGCCACCCTAATAGAGATGGCCTCCACCCTAATAGCGATGGCCGCCACCATCTGCCACCCTAATAGAGATGGCCTCCACTCTAATAGCGATGGCCTCCAACCTAGTAGCGATGGCCTCCAACCTAAGAGCGATGGCTCTAACCTAGCTAGCGATGGTTTCCAACCTAAGAGCAATACTATAGAGCAAAAGGATCTTGGTCGCTTTCCCAGGTCAGGGATATTGGGGAAAGCTGGGCACAAGCGAACAAGAAGCTTGAGGAGGAGCACAGCACCAAGGTGTGGCTCTTCGCTGGCGACTAAGAACACGCACTTTCGATGCACATACACAGCATGTAGCTATCCCAATACTGACATTGACTAAGTATTTGCAATTTAAGTTTGGCATGGACTTTTGGGACTTAGAATTGGAGCTCAGATTGGTTGATTTGGGGGTAATTATTGGGGGGCACCTAGTCTCCCACCAATATGGGGCCACCCATTCGTCCGATGTCTTTTGAAGGGTAACAACTGCATGACGTAAGTGAAGCATTGCTCACGCCGTGCACGGTATGTCGCGAAGCTCCCAATGTGTCAGAGGTTATAACAACTCACTGCTATGGAATCTCCAGCAGTTCCAGGTGGCCATGATGTCTTGTGAATTGTGATGTGGTCCGATTCACGATGTGGTTTGATGCAATGACTGATGTGCTGAGGTGAAGTGTAGTGCGGTTCTCCCTTTGCCAGTGCGAGTTGCAACCGATGCGTTCCCCACTCTACGAGCTCGGAATCTGCCCAGTGCAAACCTACTAGCGATGGCCTCCAACCTACTATAGCCATGGCCTCCATCCTAGCTAGTAGCGATGGCCTCCAACCTACTAGCGATGGCCTCCATCCTAGTAGCGATGGCCTCCATCTTAATAGCGATGGCCTCTAGCCTACTAGCCATGGCCTCCATCCTAGTAGCGATGGCCTCCATCCTAGTAGCGATGGCCTCCACCCTAATAGCAATCGCCTCCATCTTAATAGCGATGGCCTCCAACCTAATAGCGATGGCCTCCAACCTGAGAGCAATGGCCTCCACCCTATTAATAGGGATGGCTTCCAACCCAAGAGCGATGGCCTCCAACCTAGGTAGCGATGGTCTCCAACCTAAGAGCAATGTTATTGGTAGAGCAAAAGGATCTTTCCAACTGGTTTCTGGAAACTTTCCAACTTCCTTTGTTTGTTAGTAGTCCCTGTTCATAGCGGGGTTCTACCGTGTCAAGAGTAAGTGAGAGCTAGATGGCCATCGGGTTTTTTTGTGTGGTTTCGCTGGGTCAGACCTTACTTCATTTCACTTCATGGATGGGCTGATGGCTCTTGCAGGCACATGAAGAAGATGACAAGAAAATGTCAGCTGCAAAGAAACGCCGAGCGGGATTGAACGTTCCGAAAACCTTCAACGAGATGTTCCTCTTCAATGCATGCCTCATGGGCTACGAAGCGTCTTGCCTAGAGACCGTACTTCTTTGCTTAGAGGTTGTTTGAAGAATGCTCCGGCCATTGCTAGGGTGGAGGCCATCTACTAGGAACAAGCTACGTTCGTCACCATGGTCGTCTCTTGATGTGGCGTGTCCTTCCTTTCTCAGGAAGCGGAATGGATGGACATTATCCTGGATCGTATGGATTGCATTCTCTGCAATGTAGCACAATTGCAACGATTACAGGCCCTGGGCCCATCTGGGCCCGATGGCGAGATGATGTGATACAAAATACGAGACACGTTTTGTCTGATCATGGTGTTCAAAAAACACCGTGTTGATCCTTCTCCAGGTGGAGTGCGATTTGATCTCTTTGATCTTCACCAAGTACCACCGAACTATCGACATATCCGACTATCGAGTGGTTTTGCTCCTTGCCTCGGAATGGAGCTGAGACAGTTTGGTTCTCATGTTCACAATACGTTGCATGTTCGCAAGTCATCTCGGCCACACAGGTTTGCTCTCCGTTGATGTTGGGGAAAGTATCGGCAAACCTGCAACTGGATATGCCAACGATTCCAATATTTCCAGCTTCTCCAGTTGTCAAGCCAACGATGTTGCAAGTGTTTGTTTCAATCTCCTCGTGCTGATAAAGATGTAGATAAATGACATAAATTATCTAAATTTGTGGTGCTGTAGACCGGATCTTCGCGAGTGCTGCCATGTGCTGCCTGAGGTTAGCCACATTGAGGTCTTTGGTGAAGGCTGGGCATGGCTGGGCCAGCAATGTCGTTCCTTCACTGGTAAGCTTTTTACCAAAAAAGAAGCACCCAGTTTTTTTTGATCATAATCTGTCATAATCTCCTTCCGACTCGTTCCTTGTTCGACCAATTCGAAGACGTTGATGCACCGGATTCACCTTTACATTTTCCTGGCGCCTCTTCGACCAACAGGATTCCAGGATTGTAAAAGCACGCTGAGAAGTTCAAACCCCTATTTATTGGTATCTATGGGCGGTCAACGGCATGTTCTACAACAAGCTGGACAATGTGTATATACCTGGTTCTGCTTAAGGTGATTTCTTATTTCCTTATGGATAAAACCCCCTTCTGGGAAATCTTCTCTATTTGTTCCAGGTTCCTTATGCAAATCCAAGTAATTATGAATTCTTACCAAAAGCTCACAAGTCTTTTTTTCAGCGGGAGGTCGCATCATGTTTTCAAGCTGAAAGGCAAGGCCTTGCAGGCCTTTCAGGCTTTGCAGCTCGCTCCAAAGGACGATGACGCAGAATTGAAACTGCCATCCGGCTCCCAACTGCTCTGGAACTTCAGTTTGTTACTAGTAGTTTCTTGCTGTGCACTTGTTACTAGTAGCGATGCACTTGTTACTAGTAGCTCGTTGATCCATTCTAAGCACCACTATCAGTTGGAAGAGTAGTATGTGCAGGCACAGTGAGGCCCGTGACAGGGGATTGGTGTTGCAGACTGCAGTCCCATCAAGTTTCTCATTGTCCCTAGCAGTGTGAGATCAGAGGTGACTGTATCACATCACAATGTTGAAAAGCACATTCCTCTAACTTCTGTTCCCAAACAAACATTATGGGTTTGGACTTCACTGACCTTAGAACATCGGCATTCAATGCCACGATGGATCGATGTCGGATCTGTTTTACCCTTCCAGGGGTGGAGCATGGACATGGAAACGGCCTGGAATTGGTTTTGGGACAGAGTGGAGTGTCCTGGGCTGCGCTTGGGTTGACACCAGGGCTGCGTCGACCAAAATCACAGCCATCCTGATAATTATGCATATATTAATATAGTCACTATACAATATATGGCTGCGGACTCTTCCCAAAATGTATGTTGGTCTTTGAATCCCTTGAATCCACCAGATCTTAACGCCCTCGTTCTTTTCGCCTTCTTCCACGACCCCACAGAGTTGCCCAAAGCGTCCAAGATTTGGTACATCCGATGGATGAGTGCAGGTCACATTGTTGATCATCTAAGGTCCATGTTGACGGACCGCAAGACCCTGCGGCTTGGACGAATGCGAAGCATCCAAAGCTGTTCACCAGCCTTGGAACACATGAGGAACACATGTGGAAACATGGGGGTTGGCATGAGGGACCACCATCCAGGTGTACTTTGCCCATGGTTGTGCAGCTGACTGGTCAGCAACCCTGCAAGGTTTCTGGAGGAAGTCTTGGGTCATTTCTAGTGTGTGTTTTGTTGTACCGCAAACGCTGCCGTGCACGGAAGATTCTTGAACAACAGACGCTTTCGGAAAGGAACAGTGTTTGGAATCGGACTTGTTCGGTGTCAGTACACATGAGCACCGCATGAAACGTCGGATACACATGACTAGTTTTCATCGACAAACTATAGGTAGGTATACTACCTGTGTGACCATACAATCTTCAACCACACAAAGTAATTACACCACCAGGAAAACCAAAGCAAAATCATCCTGTCCCAAATATCTGGGGTTCCGAAACTGAAACTCGTCTCCAGGGGCTCCTGTGCGAAGAAGCTCCGCACCGAGCTGGCCACCCTCAACGAGACACACTTGGTGTCCTGGGCGAATGGGAATCCGTCGCGACGTGTCGGGCGTCGACCCTATGGGTTTTGAGGTCCACAGGTCCAGTGCTGCTGCGGTGTCAAGTGTACAGTGTCAAGGAGATGGATTTGGTGTTTTCTTTTGGGGTTTACACTGGTTTTTCTCACACGCGTTTTTGGGGGAGGAGCTCAGATGGTGGATGTTCGTTTGTGTGCGTGTGCGTGTGCATACTTCTTTTGTGGTTGAATTCAGCTGCATGATCTGCATGACCCCCCCATGTAGTGGAGGGAGGAAGAAGGACAATGTGCAGTCAGACGTTAGGGAGTTGTTCATTGTATAGCAATGGTCATTGATGGGTGCAGGAAATAGTTGCAAATGTTGGCAACTTTTGACTTGGTAGGACTGTTTGATCCACAAGTTAGGCAGTTTTCGATGTTGCGTGGGACCTCGGACAGTAGGAGCGATCGGACGCTACTAGGGGCTCCTGACCGTACTACTAGGAGCGATCGGACGCTACTAGGGGCTCCTGGCCGTACTACTAGGAGCGATCGGACGCTACTAGGGGCTCCTGGCATCGCTAGTAGGAGCGATCGGACGCTACTAGGGGCTCCTGGCCGTACTACTAGGAGCGATCGGACGCTACTAGGGGCTCCTGGCTGTACTACTATCAGCGATCGGACGCTACTAGGGGCTCCTGGCATCGCTACTAGGAGCGATCAGACGCTACGAACGGGGCTCCAATAGGAAAAAGATCTTTCACAATTGATTCGATGGAGTTGAGAACTGTTGAACTGTTGGCTGGGCCAGCACTATGAAAAGGTTTCGCATGGTTTCGCTATTTAGCCAAAGACTGAAAGAAAGAGTCCTTGCTCTTTGGATTTGGTATGTTTGCCAGAATTGAGTCGAATCAAACAACTCCGAAGCAATTCTTATGGTCCCTTTCTATCAGTTACTTTGAGATTCAGCCTTGTCTTACCCAGCTCTGACTCTTGATCATAATATGTCATATATGGTTGCCAAAATGCTTTGCAGTAGCTCATCATTTACTGTAAGCATCCAGGAGTTCACATTGTATATAAAAAACTACAAATATGAATGCCTCCAACATCATCAACATCCTCCAATTATCCCATCAAACATTACGTTTTCCGTCAGTGTTTCTTCATTTAGCTTTCCACCCAAGCCCTCAAATCTTCGCAGCACGTAGCAGATCGCATCCGATTGGATGGACTGTGATACTCCGTCACAATTGGAGTCATATGATCAATTTATGTCAATTTATCACATATATATATAAGATGATTCAATTCAAGCTTGTGTGGACGATGATGTTTACAACAGCCACTTGCAAAGGCTAATGATGCTAATGACAGGTGGTCACTCCAATTGTTTCATCAATTCATTTAAGTCATGTTAAATCCTTTGTTGGTTTGGAATTGGTTCGCATTCCATGTCAGCCTCCAAAGCAAGCCTTCCATGTCAGGTCAGACTCAAGGACCTGAAACTTCTCCATCGAACTTTCTCACAAACAATTAGGTTTTGCATTTAATGTGTTGATGACAGGTTCATGCAATCTGATTTGGCATGTGTTGATGGTGAATCAACACAGCTTTGATTTGGTAGGTTTGGGGGCCGAATTGGCCCCCCCAAAAAACCGATGAATCGGGGCCGTTTCCGTCGGTCCGGTTCAACTCAGGACTTCTTGAAGAGACAGATTTTCCATCACTTCTTCCACTCAACCCCCAAGGGGCAGGAGACAAACTCACAGCGAGCCGCTGGGATTCGGCTTTTGCATGGCTGAATCCATGAGTGAACACATGGGAGAAGTATGGAAAAGTAGAGGTGTTTTGCTTTGTGACTTTCTGTGGACTTGCTGGATGGTTCTGGCTTCCTGAACGCCCATGACAAGACATGTTATGCTTGACACGCCTGGAAGCAGGAAGACATCTTCAGAAAGTCAAACATAGACTCGACGACATGCCTCATGCTCCGTCATCATTGCGGTACAGGAGTTCTTGAAGACTTCGATGACAAGGCTCTACTTTGTGGCGGACAAAATCATTGAAATGACTCTGGAAATGTTCGATGATCCCGTGAAGATGGTTGAGGAGCCATTCATCAGTCCTTGTTGCAAGTTGAGATAAGTCGAGGTAGCATTGAACAAGTGTCAGGCCCAGTGAGATCACGTTTTTCCTATAAAAGCCACGTTTTTCCTGTGAAGTTGCCATATGTCGTCATTTTTGTTCAAAAGAGCGGTGTTTTGTTTCATCGCTTATACAGACCCGAATACGGTCATCGCTCTGTGGCCTTGAAGGTTGGAGTAGTTTGATGTTTGCCTTGGAGACCTTTTGGAAGAAAGCTGTACGAAACTGTTTTGTGGCGCCTCATGAAGTTGTATACAGTTGACAGCTAGCAGCTAGATCGGTTGGCATCTCCAGGGTGGTTGATAGACACTTCAAGTTCTTGTTCTTCTAATTCAAACTGTAAGGTGTTCGCTGTGGAACACGAAGGCCACTGACCGCCAACAAAGCCACTGAGTGCGCACGATGTCAGGAGGTGAACAGCCTCGGCTTGATGCACGTAGGCCCATTGGGACGGACTGGGCATGGCGCCCGCCGTGGTTCACAGGTGGTGGCGCCATTGATCACTATATAGTTTGGTAAACGCTTCCTGCAACAAGAAAGCCTCCCTTCTTTTTCTCAACAAAATTTCTTCGAGCTTTAGACAGA